ATGCCCGAGTCTTCATCAGACTTGGCGAAAGTATCATAGTAGAGTTTCATTTTTCTAGCAGCATCGGCTAGCGTTGAACGTTCATTTAGCGCTGTGGATTATATCGTCGAAACATTTCATCGAACGTAGCACAGGACATTATTTATTTTTGGACTCAACCGAGACAACGAAATAAAAGAAAATAATGCGTTGGATATAATAAAAAAAAACTGTTCGTTGAGATTGTATAGTAATTGATTCTTTTTAAATCTTGAATAACTTCGAATTAATCATCAAAAATATGTTTACGTAGGATCAGGTCACGAAAACTTATTTGACCTCGAATCGGTATCAAATTGGGTCACGAAGATTTGACACATATCGGATATTGATGTGTATTTTTTTACGCATAAAAGCGTTAACTTTTTCGTTACCTGTCTGTCTGAGACATTGAAGCACATTGTACATTATTCGAACAAGATTTTCAAGATAATTAATTATCAATAAAGATATATTAACTATAATTGAACTGATCAAGGTTCAAGGAGATTACGAACACATGTGACAATAGCTTTCGTATCCAATTTTCTGTCAATGCTCTGAATCTCATATACAGTATGATGGTATATCTTTTTCATACTACAATGACTGATTAGTTGTAGGCTGTGATGTCAATATCACGATGCAATGCCTTACAGCTGTCATTTTTGTATTTGTTTCTACTAACTTATGATTCTTTAAAATTTGTTGAATTGAAAACGTTTTCCGCTTCTCTTACTGTCCTTCATAAACAGCCAAGGCACACAGTTTTTTTCTTTTTAAAGTTGTGATGAAAGAAAAAAAAACCAAAACGTCGCTGATTATTTTGCATTTTGATTTATGAAAAGAAGTGGTAAACGTACATTAATTTTTCTTCTTTTTCATCGCAAGTGAGTAAATATAAGGATTACAAAAATTGACTATGAAATTATCAAAGCAGTTAAGACCTCATAATCATTTACAAAGGTTTGATTTGTCCAATAATTGCAGTAATTTGTGTTGTACAGCGTATACATTGCTATATTTCGTCAGAGGGTAATAGTTACAGTTGTAATATTCGACTATTTTTATCTGTTTTCTTCAAACTGATCAGACAAACAAGTACTGAAAACGTCGACGTTTTGACACGTAAAAATGTCGATTTTTTCGTTATTTGTCTGACTACATGATCTCGATGCTTTCTGTCCCAAAAATTCTTAGTCGTACATAAAATAGTATGCTCAATCGACCATCCAATAGGTATTTCGTCGACGTGCCGGTATAAGGTAACCATGAGCATCGAGAAATTCAAGCGTACCCCTCGAGTTTTCAGTTTCCGATAGGCCGAGAACTCGGTGATAGATTAGTAAAATGCTTAGTGTGCGATCAATCGAACGATTTTTATCGAGGTGATCAAAATTTGATCAAAATAATAAGGATTTTTTTTTGCATATATGCTTCGAGTCGTCGAAACTTATCGAATTAATGCGAAGAAGGAAATTCGAGTATGAATACTTACGATGAACATTCATCGAACATCTAAACTAAATGTGAACTATTGTTCTCATATGAAAGTTATCTTTTCAATTCTTTGAAGAATAATACTTTCAAGATTACTATTTTAACATCTGCTAAAAGTTTTAGAAAATGAGAAAAAACTTTTTAATTGAATAAAAACACCTTTTGCGTCTCTAACTAGAGAAAAAGCTTTTTTTTGAGTCTCAAATATCATATAATAAGCGTATTAGATAAATATGCCATTTAATAAATAAGTAATTTGAGTGATAAAGTACAAAATCAATATATAAAAAAAAGTTTTCAAACATTCAAAACGCAAAAATTTGTTATGACTGCGTTTTTTCGTCAAAAGCACTTATGGGTTCCGCTCTTACTTGTTATTTTTTATCCGTTAATGCTAAATATTTTTTAGAAAATTATGAAATTAAGGAAAATATATGTCGAACATACATCATCCTACTAACATAGCTGAATGAAAAAGACATTTACAAATCACTTTTTGAACAAATTTGACAAAATCAAAAGTAATCTTACCATTTGAATATTGTATTTCTGCTTGGTTTGTTTCTACTAGAGCACTCAATATTATGCTTCCGATATGTTTTTTTTTCCTGAAGTACTCGAAACTTTGATAAGTACCAAGGGATCTAAGAGTGCTTGAGGAATCGAAAATGAATGTTCGATAGGATACAGGTTTTGGATGGTCCGAATCCGACGGCTGCCGAGAGGCTCGATGTCGGAGCAGAACGAACAAAAAAAATTCAAATTTTCGAGCACTTATTGCATCCATTATACGCTTTTTACAGTCTACTTGAATGGGATGTAAATATCTGCCATAAAGTACTTTTTAAGTGCGTGATCAGATGTCAAACCACATCCACTCTCACTTAACAATATCTAACCATATTTCCGTAATCTCCACACGACATCACACTCTGACCTTTGACCTAGATATAGGCACACACTTAACACTATATGTATACCTAGTACTAAACAAAAGTTCTAAGAGCAATACACAAAAATAAAAAGTTAAAGAGCCATTTTTAGTTTTATTTTATTAAGTATTGAACATAGTTGCGATGGTTACTTATAAAAAGTTCGAAATATTCTAGTAATTTATCAAAAGTTCTTTTGAGCTCTTTTTCTGGAACATTTTTTAACTGTCATTGAAAGCTCATGATTAAGCGTGTCATATCTATTTTCCGGAAATTTTTTTTATAGTACTAGATTTAGTTTTATATATACGATCCATAAACAAATAAACTAGAGGATCACGTTGATCTAGATCTACTCTACACATTTTGTTCCATGAAAGTGGCCGAAATTTTGCTCAGAAAAAAGTTACGAGACACAAATTCTGGGGAGACTGCCATCTTTAAAAGAAGGTGATGCTTTCACACTTCTAGCCCTAATAACGTTGTTTCTGAGAAAAATTTCTACTATTTTCTTACTAAAAAAACCTTGTCGAAAAGATCGAGATCTACACGATCTACTAGTTTTATTGTTCTGTAGTTTCACAAATAAAAATGAAGCTTGTACTATAAGAATTGTTTCGATAAAGTAGGTACGACATATCTGCTCATGCGATTTTTAAGACAGTTAAAAGTGTTCCAGAAAAAAAGTCCAAAAGAATTTCTGAAAAATTAGTAGAATGCTTGGAAATTTGTATAAATAATCATGGCAACTTTGTTAAATATTTAATAAAATAAAACTAAAAATATCTCTTTGATTTGTTCATTTTATTTATTGTCCTTAGAACATTTGATCAGTTCTAATCAGATTATAGTAATGTACGTGTTTTATCTGATACTTTTACTTCAACACTTCGTTTTTTTTTTAATGTCTAAATGCAACGTCAGCATAGTTAGAATTAAAACTGATCGAGTTATAACTCGAGAGACAAATTGTTTTAACTTTCAATAGATTTTCCTACCTATCAAAATTTTGAGAAATAGTTTTTATTTCAGCTATAACTCAAGTAGAACCATTCGATAGAGCATATCATGGGATCCATAATTTTGACCTCCAATTTCACTGCTTTTCTGCCGTTTTTGATCTGAAAGTTACCCCTTCCTGCCGAAAAATGATCAGAGTCTAGAAGCAAGTATATGATACTTGGCTTCTAGCGAAAACGAAAAAGACTAGTCACTGAATCTCAGCGGTGTATTCTTGCTTCCAGGATCTGACAATTTTTTGGAGTTTTACAGCAGAAGTTTCATCCGTACACCACTCACTTAGGATATACTAGGACTTACGACATTATGTGATCCTTATTTACAGATGACTGCCTATTTCGGGTAGTAATAAACGACGACAGATTTTTGCGATTGTTTTGTGCGGCGTACGTTAAAGCTCGTAAGTCATCGTTGTGAACAGTCTACGTAATGCCCATCATAATTATATGAATACACTGCCGATTATAACTGTAAGCATCATATGTCCGTCACAAGGAACTGCAGAATGAAAGAATATATATATGATAAAATAGAGAAAAAGATATCTCCACGTACTTTTTGCTATCCGGACAGATGTTCTAAACCAATAAGACTAGAAGGAACATTTTAATTTCAGTTGAACATCAGAGTATATCATTGCCGATGCTAACAACAACTGAGAATAATTGACGTAAGACTATCTGATATATCTTAAATAGCTCTTAACACTAACCATCTCTACATTTTTAAAGTTCTGCTAAAGCCAAGATTGTCTTTTTTCTTCAGATAAAAATCTAATTGTGGTCATGTCAATAATATATTAAGCGCTTTATTGATGTGCTCGATGAACCTATTACTCAGTTATGCGCAACTATCAAAAGCTATGAAGATGGATCAGTTATATCATTTGTAAAAATCGTAAAACCAGTTGGACATTTTTTTAATAGAGTTGAAGAAGAGAATCGACGCCAATACATTTATATACTACATGACTTTGTGATGGACCGAGCCTTTTTGAAGTGCTCAATCAAACTCTTCGACCTGTGGAATGTCAAGATCGTCAATCATGATTTATGTTTATCAAGATTTTTTGACAGCCTTTTGCAAGCTTCCTTCACATGCGGAAAAAATTTATAGGGATATGCGTGATATCGATCTAAGTTCCCACTATCCAAAAGGAAGAACATTTTTTCTGATGGAGAGTAAATTCACGCATCCTTAATCTTAAATTTCTCGAATTTAATAATTTTCTGAGCAAAACAATCATCCGTACACTTTGTTCTATCCAGTGTGAAAATTGTAAATCTGTTGAATTTCATTCCTACCCTAAAAACACGAAAGAGATCATGCATAAATATGGAGTATATTTTGAAATGAAAAATTTTGTTTTTAGATCGTATTTCACAAAAGTTTCGTTAGTTCAGCAGAAGGACTTCACATTATCCATATTCAAGAAATTCCACCTTTCTTTTCTACGGTGAGACATTCATTCAAGAAAATTGCTTTCTTTGGTACAACTTCACAACTGACATCTACAAAAAATCTGACTCAATGCGAACATCATTAAATGGACCATCAAAAAGTAAGAAGATTTGTTAATACTCGATATAGACAGTGATCAACAGATAAGGAAAATTTCTTTATCATAACATTGTTAGCATATGACTATACATCAAGATAGATATATAACGGCTGACTAGAGACCGTCAAGTCTGAATTTGATGTGGGATATTCACGAAATTTTTCGCACTCACATTCGTATCAACGAAGAATATGTAAACGCGAAATATATTATAGGCAATGCTTTATTTTAGATATTATGAATAATAGAATTGTGACAGAATTGATGGTCAGCTGGCGATTTCTCGAGGAATTATCTCAGTTCTGATAATAGTTCTCAACAATTTAAGAGCAATTTCTAGTTCTCTGTTTGATATTGTTAACTTATTTTCTACAAAATTTAGTGCAAAAACATTTATGAATATGTTGCATTGCCGCTAGACTTCGTTTTCAGCTAAGTGTTAATTTTACGATGAAAGATATCTTTTAAGTAGATAGACACAAAATGATAGCTTTAAGTTTATAATTACAATAAAAGCATACATTCAGTTAACTTTAATTTTAAAAAATGATTAATATTAAACAAGTCAATTTTATCTTTTTCATCAATCTCATTAGATATTCAAATATCGATAAAAGAATTTTTCAGGACTATTATTATTTACTTTTGAAATAACAATATGAATTATATTATGCAAAAAATAATTTTCTTTTCTATTATTTAGCGACTTCATATGAAATACTTGTGTATACAGGTGACAAAAGAGGTGCCGGTACAGATAGTCAAGTTTATATAACATTACTTGGAAAAGATGGAAAACAAACAGGAAAAATTCATTTAAAAAATTCTAACAATAAAAATCCATTTGAACGAAAACAAACAGATAAATTTTGCGTTAAAGGTGAATATATTGGAGAATTAGTTAAACTTCGTATTGAACATGATAATACTGGTCGATCATCTGGATGGTTTCTTGATCAAGTATCAATATTTAGTTTCTTTTCTTTTCGACTATAAATTTTTTGTATTTTATTTTATCAGATTGTTGTGACAGATCTTAATGATCTAAGAACAAAATATATTGCAACATGTAATAAATGGTTAGCAAAAGATGAAGGTGATCGACAGATATCTCGAGAACTTTTATTAAATAAACAAGCTAGTGGAATAAAAAACAGTAAGAAAAAGAACTGAAATTGATTGTTTTTCATCATTTTTTCTTGTTATTTATAGATAATCAATATAAAATAACAGTTTATACTGGAAATAAAAAGAGCGCTGGAACAGATGCTGATGTATTTATTACTCTTTATGGTAATTTAGGTGAAACAAGTGCGATTATGCTTGACAATAAAAAGAAGAATTTTGAAGCTGGACAGTAAGACTTAAAAAGTATTTTCTATGATTAAAAATTTTTTTTTCTTTTCATAGAAAAGATGAATTTACAATTGAATGTCCAACTGTTGGTGAATTAAATAAAATTTTAATCGCACATAATAATAAAGGTTTAGCATCTGGTTGGTTTTTGGATCGAATATTAATTGAAGATCTTAATAAATATCGTATATATGAATTTCCATGTAATAGATGGTTAGCAAAAGATGAAGATGATAAACAAATATCTCGTGTTCTTTTTCCAATAAAATCAACTGATCATGGAAAAGAACCAACAACAGGTAAATAAACTTTTTTATATGAACAAAGTGGGAAGAAACAAATAAATCTTTTTTTTTTATCAATTTTCAGCTATATTTACAGATGTTGGTAAGTAAAAACAATTAATACTAAATGTATGTATGATTGTTTTTTTTTAGGTATTTCATATACTATAACAGTTTATACGGGCGATAAGAAAAACGCTGGTACGGATGCACGAGTTTATATAGTTATGCATGGTAAAAATTCATCATCAAATAAAATATACTTAAGCAATGGAAAATTTGAAAAAAAGTCTGTCGATAAATTTACAATTAATGCTCCAAATGATCTCAGTCCATTGACAGCATTGGATATTGGACATGATAATAGTGGAATTGGATCTGGATGGTATCTTGATAAGGTTTGTTCAGACTTATTAAAGAATATCTAATGGATCAAAATCATTAGTTCAAGATTAACAGAAAAATTTATATCTGAAGGTCAAAAGCAGAATAGTAAACGATTAGAAATATAAAGATAAAGAAAGAATATGAATTTGCCACAAATTCAAGTATACCATCAGATGCTAGAAACTATTACAGAACGCGATTGCTCTGTCTTGCTAACTTTCTTCTGAAAAGAGTCCTTTAAGAAAAACTTTTCTAATGAATATTGCTCATATCAAAGACAATTACAATAGCTGACGTTAAAGACTAATCTTAATTGTGTTTCTTATGTTTAATCGGTTTTTGTTGGTATACATCTGGTTCGATTGATAGATATTTTGTTTTCATTTAAATACTCTATTACTATTCTATAATATTCTTACGAAATGATGCAAATAAAATATGAATACTGAATATTAAAGTCACTACGAAGTTTTCATCGGGTTATCAGCTGTTCTAATAGTTACGTTCGGTTTATAAGCCATGTAGGGCAGAACAAATAAAATTGCCCTGTGATGATCTCTAATTCGAACGATAGATTTATTAATAAATCTAGTATTCTAATAGATCGATATTCGACATATATAAATTTCTTCTTATATTCAATATCAAAATGAATGTGTAATAATAAATAACAACAATAACACGAAAGAAAATGATTTATCATATGCAAAGTTAGTGAAAAAACGTTCAATAATAGCTCTTAGTATGAGGGGTCTCCGAAAGGATGTGCAGTATGGATAGACTAGAGATCTCACCCTCACCCATATTCTCATCATTAAGTTGTATGATTTCAATAATTGAAAAGGTTTTTATTGTGATTATGTATAAAATACGATATAAAAGCAACTAATGGTATTTTAATAAAATTTTCTTTCGTTCTTATTAGATTTATTTCTATACGAAATAAGTCTTCTGGATAAACAATTTAAATATTTGCTGAAGTGTATTTGAGTTACAGCTTCATCTACGTTCTAGTAATATTATATTTAAAAAATTTGAACTTATAAGCATATATTTCCAAAAAAAAACATTTAGAAAAAAAAGTGACAGACAGCCAGACAAAGCTAATGATCGATTATCGATCTTCAAGTGAAGAATATAAAAAAACAGCAAAACCTATCAATAACCTTGGTATAATAATTCAATAAAACTATTTAAGTTTTCAGTGACAACTGAGACAAAAATTTATATATTATATTTGAGCTATGAGTTCTCTTTCATTTCTCATAGATGAAAAAATAACATCGATATATTGAATAATAAATTTGATTAAACATTTCAGGTTGTCGTCGAATGTCCAAGTACAGGTATTAAACAAACATTTCTATGCAACAATTGGTTAGCTGATGATGAAGGTGATAAACGCATTGAACGTCGATTAAAAGAAGATTTATCATTACGTCAAATTCATCCACAAAGTAAATGAATTAAAGATTATTTTTCATCAATTTATTTTTGTTTATTTAGCTATTCCATGGCACATATGGGTATATACAAGTGATAAGAAAGGAGCAAGTAAAAATGCTCAAGTGATTCTTGTTCTTTATGGTCAGAATGGAAAATCAATAGATATTAAATTAGAAAAGAGTTCAAATACATTACAACAAGGTCATTGTGATCAATATGAAGCTGATATAAATGATGTTGGTATACCATTTAAATTACGTGTTAGTCTTAATAATCAAAGTTTATCTACATCATGGCGCCTTGATCGAGTATGAAAAGAAGAAAGGATTCTGCAGGATTAGATGACCTATTCACATTTGAGAAATCAATGATATCATGTTGTAGATTAACTCAAGGTGCGCGTCGAGTTGTATATAGTAAAAGGTTTTCTTCTGAAGATTTTCAATGAAATAGAGTCAATTTATTAATAGACATCTATGTACTCAAAACATGAGCATTCTGTCCTTTGATGTTAGTTGAAAGTATTTCTGAGAAATTTTTCTTATATACAGGTTTTTAGACCTTCTCACAGGCAACAATTTCATATATCTAATATTTTCAATGATTTATCACTGTTTTTCACTAATGTGAAGTATGTGTGTCTTCAATGGTGTCAAAGGTAGGAGATATGATCTGACCATAGACTTTCTCAGAAGTTGTTCGTGATATAACACTACAAAACAACCTTGCATTGACAATTCTCAACCAATTATTGTATCAAATTATTCTCTTTCAATACTGTATTTCGAAATGTTGACTTACAAAAGTTGATTCTAGTATGAAAAATTTGACCCATAGGGGACTACAATGAGAATTTCAGAAAAAAACGGTTGTGAGACAGTACTGGTCGAATTTTGGGCAAAATAAAATATTGATTTAAAATATAAACTATTCAATGCAGTGTTTTAAGAACTTTTTCAAGTCAACATATCGAAATCTAGTATTAAAGGAGAATAATTAATCTAAAAAATGGTTGAGAATTGTCAATGCAAGGTTGTTTTGTAGTATTATATCAAGGACAACTTCTGAGAAAGTCTGTAATCTAATCACATCTTCTACCGTCGACATTATCGAAGATACGGAGACTAACCATTAGTGAAAAACGATGATAAATCATTGAAAATATTAGGCACATGCAATTGTCGTCAGTGAACAGATCTAAAAAATGAATATAAGACAAGTTCCTCAGAAGTACATAGTTATCTATTAGTAAATTGACTCTATTTCATTGAAAATCTTATGAACAAAACTTTCTACTATATACAACTCGATGTGCACCTCGAGTTAATGTACAACAAAGTATCATTGGTTTCTCAAATCTGAATAGATCATCTAATCCGATAGGATCCTTTCTTTTATTTTATCTTATGATTTTTTTAGATTGAAATGGACAATCTTAAAACAAATCAACGATATACATTTCATTGTGGACGATGGTTATCGAAAACAGAAGATGATAAACAAATTATTCGAGAATTACCAGCTGAAGGACCAGGAATATCAAGACTATTACCTGTTGTTCAATATATAGTTGATGTGTATACAGGAAATAAGAATAGTGCTGGTACAGATGCAAATGTTTTTATTAATATTTATGGTGAATGTGGTGACACAGGAGGTTATACATATAAGATTTAATTATTATTAATAAATTTTTAATGAATAAAATAAACGTTTTGTTTTTCTAGTACGGTTATTAGAACATTCATTACTAAAAAATAAAGATAAATTTGAAAAAAATCAAGTAAAAACCAAAATTTAATAATATTCATTTCAAAATTTTCTTTTTAAAGGTTGATAGTTTTGTTATTGAAGCTGTTTTATTAAAAGAAATACGAAAAATTCAAATCGGTCATGATGGCACGGGTTAGTTATGTTAATAAAATAATTTTTCTTTTTATTTATTTATATGATCATTAAATAGGATCACATTCTGGATGGTTTTTAAATAAAGTTGTCATTCGTCAACAAGATCAACATTATGAACCAGCAACATTTATTTGTAATAGGTATTTAAAAAGAATAATAATTGTTATAATAAATTAAAAAAAAAAAAAAACAATTATTTGTAGATGGCTTGCTGTTAATGAAGATGATGGACAAATTGTTCGGGAATTAACAGCAACACAACATTTAGATAAAACAACATATAATGTTAAAATAAAAACTGGTGATATTTTTCAAGCTGGTACTGATGCTGATGTACATTTGAAAATATTTGGTAAAAACAGTAGTACAGATAAAATTCAACTTAAAACAACTAACAATACAAAAGCTCAATTTGAACGTGGATGTATTGACAGTTTTGCATTTGAATTTGATGATCTTGGCAAAGTTTGTTATGTTCTTCTTATTATTAAGATTATTTTAATATTATTAATAGATTGAACATATACTTATTGGACATAATGGAAAAAATCCTGGTGCAGGATGGTTTCTTGATTGGATTGAAATTGATGTACCAGTACGTCAAGAACTTTATAGGTAAAAACTCATATATGTGTGAAACCATTCGTTAACAACGTGATTTCACAAAATTAGAACACTTGTATCTCGAAATAATAAGCTTTTCTAAAACTAACTTTTATTTGTTACATGTATGTTAAGTTCCTCTAGATATCTTTGTTCGGCAATCAATTCCAAACAGTACAATTTCTTCCTCAGAATCTCCAGATAATTGTGAGACAAAAATTTTTGTTTCAGGACTTCACAGAAAATCTTTTGGAGTTCGATCTTGCTGAAAATTTCACCATAGATCCAAGTTATAACGTAGACTCTATCCTAAAATTTTCAAATTTTTTCTCCTATGGTTAGAAAGATATTCCTTAATTACTATTTAATTAATTAAATTAAAATTAATAACCAGTTAAAAGAGTCAACATTTTTACATATGTCTATGCTAAAAGAATTTATTCAGAAAGATCACCCTAGTAAAGAATCTATTATTGTGCCATGTAATTTCTAAGGAGTAACATAACTAACGACATTTTATAAAACCGATAGTTCTGTCTTTCGAAGATCGTCTGAGTTCATACTTTTGTATTATCCTCCACATAAGCATAACTATATATGAGAATAATCTTACTTCATTTCAGCTTAGATTGACTGAGATAGTGAGGTTTTTGTCATAAGATGACTCTGATAGGTGTAATAGTAAAAACGTTCGATCTCTTCAAAGAAAGATCATCGGCACGAACTTTTTTTCAAAGGTATACAAAGTTGACTAAGGGCAACAGGGTGCACTAAGTCTCACTGTTGTTACTAATGCATAAGTTTCATTGAGTATCAGAATGTCTAATTATCTCTAATGAGTAGTCTCTATTATTTAATTCAATTAATAAAATTTGATCAGATAATTCTTTGTTTGACACAAGTTAAATTCTTTTTATTTTGGTGTTTATCATCTATTTCAATAGATTTGTCTGTCATCGTTGGTTAGATAAGCAAGAAGGTGATGGAAAAATTGAACTTGATCTAACACCATCTGATATAATTAAAAAACCAAGTCGTAAATATTAAAATATATAGTTTAAATAATAAATAATATTTTACTATAGTTATTCCATATGAAATAACAATTTTTACTGGTGACATAGCTGGTGCTGGTACAGATGCGAAAATATTTATTCAAATATATGGTTTATATGATAAAACAGAAGAAATTCTTCTGAAAAGTAAATCTAATTCATTTGAAAGAAAATCGGTATGAATAATTTTCAAGAAATTTTCTTTTTCATATGAATTTTTATTTGAGATTGATAAATTTAAAATCGAAGCTGCCGATATAGGACCAATTGAAAAAATTCGAATTGGTCATCATTCAGAAAATTTTGGTGCAGCATGGTATCTTGAAAAAGTAAGGTTTTTATTTTTGTTCAAAACAAAAAATTTATATTTAATAAAAAAATTTTTTGATTTAGATACTTATTCAACGATATTTAAGTAAATCATTTAATAAACGAGATAATAAATTAAGATTTTTTTTTTTTTCTTTCTTTTATATTTAGATTCTAAATCGGATCGATCAAAATATCAAAGTCAAATTACTAGTACATCAAATCCAAATGTTGAAGAATATTGGTTTATTTGTCAACAATGGTTTGATAAAGGACAAGGTGATAAACAAACTATTCGAGAATTATTACCAATTCATGAAAATAGAAATACATTAAGTAATCAAAAAGGTAAAAGAAAAAAAAATTTCTTTTTTAAATTTAAATAGAAAAATATTTGATTAGAATTATCTTATCTTGTACATGTTTTTACGGGTGATAAAAGTAGTGCTGGTACAGATGCAAATGTTTTTCTTACAATCTATGGTGAAAATAAAAATTCAGGTAAACAATTCGATTTTATTTGATTTTATAATGTAATGAATTATTATAGGTGAACGTCAATTAACAAAATCAAAAACAAATTCAAATCCATTTGAACGAAAACAAGTTTGTTTTTTTATTTTTCATTAGTTGTTTTTTAAATCTTTCTTTTTCGATTTTAGGAAGATATTTTCGAAATCAAAGCTCGAGCATTGGGAAAATTAACAAAAATTAAAATTCGACATGATAATAAAGGAGTATGAATAATCAACCGAAAGTTAATTTTCAAAATCTTATAAATTTAACAACGAAAAAAAAAAGAGATTTTTGCGAGAGTGAGAGCAGCAAACTTTAGTAATAGAAAATTTTATTCAGAATTGTTCGATTTTTAAATTTTACTTAAAAAAACAAGATTTAAAACTGTGAAAATTTCATATCACCTCTTTTTGTACGAAGCTGTTAAATAGTTCTTTTGAATAGGAACCTTACTTTTGAAACGAGTTGTATTTAACGGTTGGATCAGTAGAGACTTCAGTGTTGAAATCTCTCGAAGTTTTTATAAGTCATTTGAAGCGTTGAAGTTCGTAGTTTTCCTCCTTGTTCATGAGCAGCTTATTAGAAAAAAGGTAGAGTTTATTCTCACTTAGAAAAGACAATAGCTTGTCGACAGGTTATACATCCACCCATTTCTGACATTCAGATTGTCATAACTCAATAACTTAAAATAACAAAGAGTTGAAACTTACATTGGCTATACGTAGATATATAGAAGTTTTAATTTCAGTTATATTTTCATTTTATTTTACCGAACTCATCCAAAAAGAGAACCCCTTGTTAAAATATCTCATACTTCTCGCAAGTTTTTCGCTCTGAACAAAATGTTTTAATTTGGGTTTATGAATAAGATAATATACCTCACAATGGGATCAGATATTTTCTTTGAAAGTTTGTTCCTAAAAAATGTTATCACAAAAATATTACGGTAACGAACTTATCGGCTTGTTATATAATTCTTAAGAAAGCAAATGTTTTTTTACATCTTTGACAACAATATCAAGTAATCCATTGATGTCGAACTGTAGTTCAAATATCAATGATAAGCCAGTATTTGAAATATGAAAAATATACAAAAATCTATAACAAATGAATAATTTCGATCACCTTATGTTCAAAAAAGTCTTCTGCTCAACTTTGTTCAAACTATTATCAGATATAAAATTAATTTGAATTTTTTAGATTCTACAAAAATTTATCGAGAAATTTGAAAAATGACCCTAATTATTTATTTCCTATACAAAATTTTGCTATGTTCTCATTCTAAATTTCTCTTCTCTATAAAAATGTTTTATTTTGAAAATTTATTTGCTTTGTTTTTTATTTTTGGTTCATTTCTACAGCTTGCTTCTGCATGGTATCTTGATCGTATTGAAATTGTTGATCCTGAAACTGGTCTTCGGTAAATATCATAGAAGAAAAAAATTGAAATAAAAAACCTTCGATTATATTTCTATTATTTAAAAGATATTATTTTATATGTGAAAAATGGTTAGCGTCTGATGAAGGTGATAAAATGATATCACGTGAAATTTATGCACTTGAAAATAAAACACGTCATCCATCACCTGTACGTCAAAGTAAGTTTAAAAAAAGCAAACAAAAGAATTAATTTTATAATAAATAATCAATCAACTAATATACTCATCTGTATTCTTTTCCTTCGGATGTGACTTCTTTTCTTTACTACGCATTCATCATAATACTTTTGTTATTTTGTTTTTGAAAAATCGTAACATTAGCTACAACTTATCGAATCAATGTAATTACTTCGGATAAATTTGGTAGTGGTACTAATGGTAATGTTTATATAATTATATTTGGTGAACATAATAATACAGGTGAGATTTATTTTTATTAAATAAAATATAAAATATATATTCATTTTAATAATAGGCAAAATTGCATTAATTAAATCAAAAACAAATAAAGATCCATTTGAAAAAGGTCATAAAGATCTATTTGAAATTGAAACTCTAGATATTGGTCAACCAAAAAGGATTAAGTATGCATAGAATATCATTAAAAAGAATTGTTTAATTGTATTTTTCATTTTTAAGAATTGGTTATGATGATTCAGGTTTTGGATCAGATTGGTTATTAGAATGTGTAGAAATTGATATACCAAAATTAGGTCATACATGGATATTTCCATGTGGAAAATGGATAAGTAAAACAAAAAATAATTCTCAAGTAGATGTTGAATTATATCCAATTGAAACTTCAACTAGAGTTAAAACATCATGTAAGAATAAAAAAAAAAAAACGAATTGTCTTTTGAAATATTTTCAAAATATTTTATTAGATGTTCCATATGAAATAAAAGTTTATACATCAAACATTTATCGTGCAGGAACAGATGCTAATGTTTATATTCAAATTTATGGTCTTAAAAACTCAACTGATCAAGTTATGTTATGCAATACAACAGATCGACAAGGAAAATTTCAAATGGGTTCTATTGATACTTTTATACTTGAACTTGAAGATGTTGGAGATTATATTGAAAAAATTCGTATTGGGCATGATAATCGTGGTTTTAGTAAGAGAAAATAGACATTTGATTATGAATTATATTTGATAAAATAGGTACAGCATGGCATTTGGATCGTGTTGAAATTCGTCGATTAATTAAAGGTCAAAAGACAAAAAGATATGTATTTCTATGTAATCGTTGGTTTGCTGATGATGAAGATGATGGATCTATTGTACGTGAACTTGTTCCAGAAAATTTTCTTGAAGAAAAACTTCCTAAAAAATATATAGTGGATGTTTATACAGGTGATAAATTTGGTTTTGGCAAAGATGACAATATTTTTTTAACAATTTATGGAGATAAAGATTATACACATGAACATGAATTAGTACATTCTCAAACAAATAAAAATAAATTTGAAAAACAACAAATCGATAGATTTATAATTGAAAGTAATGATTTAGGAAATATTTATAAACTTAAAATTCGACATAATATTAGTGGAATGTTAAGTGATTGGTTTTTAGAAAAAATTGAAATTAAAGATGAAAGACAAACATATGTATTTAATTGTGAACAATGGTTAGCAAAGGATAAAGGTATTTCAAAATGTGAACAAATAATTTATGAAAAAGTAAATTTATTAAACTATATTTTTTTTTTATTCATCAATATAATACGTTTTTCTTTTCCTAAAAGAATTATCAAAATTCAATGAAAGGTACAGGATCTGCGTCTCGTTTAACTGAAGAATGTATTTCTTATATTATTAAAATAAAAACTGGCGAAATATTAGATGCTGGTACATCAGCAAATGTGTTTATTCGTTTAATTGGTTCCAAAGGTCGTCAGACATCTATGATGCGACTAGAAGTAACGAATCGACGACGTTTTGAATCAGGAAGTGTTGAAACATTTTCATTCGAAGATCCTGATATTGGTGATGTAGAAATGATTGAAATTGAACATAATGGTGATACATTAGCTGATAGTTGGTTTCTTGATGGTGTTATTGTTGAAATGCCAACAAAAGGACGAATATTTTATTTCGTTTGTAATGATTGGTTATCAAAATATAAAGGTGATCGAAGAACTAAACGTATACTTAAAGTACAAGATTTAAATAAAACATCATTTCGTTCATGTAAGATTTAATTCATTTGTTAAATGCAATTATTAGTTTTCTTTTTTTTATTAGTAATTCCATATGTAGTAAAGATCTATACAGGACATATTGAACATGCTGGTTGTGATTCCGATGTTAGTTTGAAATTATTTGGTACATTAGGTTCATCATCGGAATGTATGATAAAAAACCATGGCGATGCTTTTGAACAATCAGCTATTGATGCATTTCAAGTAGGGTACAGATTATTGTTTGTTTTTCTGTTTCTTATCTTTCTTTTTTATTTCAAACCTGAAATAATAATAAATACATTTGCATCACAATTTATACCATCTATATCACTTGTTTTAGTTATTACACGATAAGTTGTTCGATCCATTGATATTCTATTACTATTTGTTATTGGTATATCAAAATAATAATCTGTTTCATGTCCTATCCAATTATCAA